ACTCAAGATTTAATCACTGGAGTCCTAGGTGACCTGGAAATAAGATGAGTCCTAAGCAAAGTGGTCTTTGTAATCCTCCCAACTACTTGGACAAGTCACTTAGAAATCCTGTTAAATCCCTGTCATATTCATATTCTAATTGTTAACTAGGTGGTGCTTTGGATATAGTCAGGAAGTCCTGAGTTCAAATGTGGCCTCAGATTCTTACTAGCTGTGTGACCCTGGGCAAGTCATTTGATCTCTCTGTGCCTCAGTTCCCTCATCTGTAAAATGGAGATAATAATATTGTACCTGCCTCTTAGGGTTATTGTGAGAATAAAATGAGATAATAGTTGTAAGGCACTTTGCAAACCTTAAAGCACTGTAGAAATGCTACCTATTTATCATTAACAATAATAATAATAATCATGAATTCAGTATATTGTATTACTACTTCTAATAGAATTTAACCATCTTGAAGGCAGTAACCATTTCTTATTTAATCGTTGTAGCTTTCTTAGTGAATAAATGTTTGTTGAATAAACTCAATCTCCCTGTGGCTCAGTTTTCTGCTAAATAATCATAAGTAGAGCAGCTAGGTGGCACAGTGGATGGAGTACCTGCTCTGGGGTCAGGAGGACCTGAATTCAAATCTGACCTCAGACACATGCTACTCTCTAGCTGTGTGGCCCTGGGGAAGTCACTTAACCTCAATTGCCTCGCTAAAAAAAAAAAAAAGGGAGAATCATAAGAATTAGAGCTGGAAGACAGAGGGACTCCCTCTCAAACACAGAGGAAGATCCTTGAAGATGACTGCCCTCCATGGTTTGAGTGTAGAGAAGAAGTGAGGACCCTCTATGGGGAATGGGACTTACAAGGTAGTGCCTGAACTCTAAATCAGTGTTAAGGCCTCACAGAGGGATATTGTGTAAAGAGGAGGAGGTTCACAGAATTGCAGGATTCCACAGCTGTCAAAGATCTCCGAGACTGTCTAGTCCAAAGCATGAATTAGAGCATTCTTCAGCATCCTTGGCAAGTGGTGATCAATTCTCCACTTGAGGACCTCTGCTGAAGGGAATTCTCTGCATCACACACTAGCCCATTGCACTTTTCCACAGTGTGTTAGGAAATCCTTGCCTATATTAAGCTAAAAATCTTGTAAATATTGAGCCCAGAAGTCCCTGTGACTTCTACCCATTGGTCCTACGTCTCTCCTACAAGGCCAAGCCAAATAAATAAATAAAATCACCCTTTCACATGACAGCCCTTTGAATATTTGAAGATAATGCTCATGATCCCATTGTCTTCTCTAGGCTAAACATTCCTAGTTCCTTCAATTGAACCACATATGGCACAGTGTCAAGTTCTCAGACCATTCTGACCCCCCTCTGTCAGCTTGACAATGTTGTTAATAAAATGTGACTTTCCAAACTGAACACAATATTCCAAGCAGTGTCTGACCAAGGCAGAAGATAGTAGGTATATCACCACCCCCATTCTCCACCACCCCTCCCCATTCTGAAAACTATGCCTTTCAATATAAGGTTGTTGTTGTTCATTCGTTTCAGTTGTGTCCAACCCCTTGTGACCCCATTTGGGATTTTCTTGGCAGATACTGGAGTGGTTGCCATTTTCTTTTCCAGCTCATTTTACAGATGAGGAAACTGGGGCAAATAGGATTAAGTGACTTGCCCAGGGTCACTCAACTAGTCAGTGTCTGAGGCTGGATTTGAATTCAGGTCTTCATTACCCCAGGCCCAGTGTTCTATCCACTGTGTCACATAGCTGCCATACCATAAGGTAACAGTATTATTGGCCTGTATGCCATACTGTTGATTCCTGATGCTATCCTTATTAAAATGATTCAGTATTATTTTGTATTTATTCACTTAAATACATGTAAAATCCTTCTCATACACCCCACCCCAAGAGAACATAAATCTCTTGAAGACAGGGACTGTTTTGTTTTTGTCTTTATATTTCTAGTCTCTGGCGCAGCTAGGTGGCTCAGTGGTTAGAATGCCGGCATGGAGTCAGGAAGATTCTTCTTTGTGAGTTGAGATCAGGCCTCAGATACTTACTAGCTGAGTGACCATGGGCAAGTCACCCTGTTTACCTCAGTTTCCTCATCTGTAAAATGAGCTGGAGAAGGAAATGGCAAACCAGTATTTTTGCCAAGAAAATCCCAAATGGGGTCACAAAGAGTCAGACATGACTGAAAACAACTGGACAAGCACAGTGCTTATAACATAGTAAGTTCTTAATAAATATTTTTTATTAAATATTGAGTTTTCAGTCTATTAAAACACCAAACTTTTTATCATAGAAATTGTTGTCCAACCATGACTTTCTCAATTTGTATTTGTGAAGTTGATTTTGGAACCCAAAGTTAGAACTTTAAATGTATCTAAATTTATTTGCATTAAATTGCATCTAACTCAATTTATTCTTCATTCTAACCTGTGATGATCTTTTAGGATCTGGATTCTGTCATCCAATATGTTTATGTATATATGTCCAGAGATGTGTTGGAGCCAGCATAAACAGGCCTATTGTTAAATTTTCAGAGTGAGAATTTATATCTCAGAAATCACAAGTGCTACAAATCCGAGCTTGATTTATTGTTTTGTTTATTATACTTAAGAAAGTGGTGGAGAAAATGTTAATAATGCAGATTAAACTTAAAAAAGCATATCATACATACTTTTTTCAGAGAACCATTTGTTAAACATTAACCAGCATACCTTTGGCTATGTCTCCTAAGTTCCTTATCTCCAAATTTTACAAATACTGCATTTATTTATTTATTTTTCCTCTGTCTTCCTTAAAATAATTTTCCTTTTTCCCAATTACATGTAAAAATGATTTTTAACATTCATTTAAAAAAAACTTTCATTTCCAAATTCTCTCCTTTCCCTTCTTCCCTCCCCGCTCCCAGAGACAGTAAGCAATTTAATATAGGTTATACCTGGACATTCAAAGCATTGTATTTATGTCTTCATCTAAGTCATATATAAAAATGTTTGACCAGCTTAATGCCAAGAGCACATGTGACACTCCATTAGATGCCTTACTCCACTGGCCCATTGATGATTTGTCATAGAATGTAACCTCCTTGAGGACAGGGGATGTTTAACTTTCATCTTTTTAAACACAGTGCCCAACCTATAGAAGGCATTGAATGTTTGTCAAATGATTGATTGATGACTGCTCTGAGTGTGGTCATTCAACCTGTTCTAAATATACCTAACTATATCATCATTAATACTCCTTTCCCTGTTCCTCTCCCCTGTCCACTTGCCAATAATTGAAGTCAAAATCTTGAACTTATCTTCTATTTTTGAAAATCAAAACATCTGCCCACCTCCAGTTATACGGCACCCCATCTTTTCAACAGAATTCCTCAATGCTCACAGTTCCCCATTAAGCACATTCTCTCCCTGGTAGAAAAAAAAAAGCAAAAAAAGGGGTAAGTGATTTTAGCTTTCTTCCCTAAGTTGTTATTTTCCCATTTACCCCAGCTATAGGCATAGAAACTAGACCTATGGCTTTATAAGAGCTCCCAGATGAGGGAATGCCAGTCAGCACTTTCCTCTGCAATTTATAGTCAGTCTTAAAGAGATGCCCTGAGAGGTTAAGCAACTTACCTAGGGTCACACAGCCAATATGTATCAGAGATGGGACTTGAACACGAATCTTTTTGGTTCAAAGGCCAGTTCTCTATCTACCTAGCTGCCGTCTCTGCCAGTGTAGCCTTAAAAGGTCTTTTTTGTTGTCCTCCAAATTATTTTTGCTAACATGGAGCCTTCTTCATACTGTTCTTATAGGCCCAAAGGACCTTAAAAGTTGGACTAAGTGACTTTGAAGGTCCCTTTTAGTTCTACCAGTGGATTATAAATTTGGGCCTGGAAGGAACCCTAGGGGTCATTGAATCCAACCCCTTCATTTTACAAATAAGGGAAATGAAACTAAGCTTCTTTAATTCCAATAAACTTTGGAAAAACCTCTATATTGTGATGAATTCAAGAAACGGATATTAAAAAACCAAAACCAAAACCAAAAACCACCTTTTCCTTTTAGTATCTGAGGACAAGATATCAACCCATCCATGGGAAGTATCCCTTTGACAAAAAGTTGGTAACCTCAAAAGAAGAAAGAAAGCAGTGAGGCAAAAGGAAGCCCTTCTAAGATAGAAAACCAGAGAGAAGAATAGCAAGCAGGAGGAGGGAGGCAGTGGCCAGAGAGGTCAGCAGACTATTAGATATTCAGCTGCAGATCGATTGAACTCGGAATGCTAGCAAGTTGGGAGAAGGTGGAGGGTGTGTGTTTGTGTGTGTGTGTGTGTGTGTGTGTGTGTGTGTGTATGCTAATTTTCCTTCCTTCTGTAGTTCTTTCTTGGAGTAAAGCTGCCTCTCGTTTTGGGGTCAGAACTCTTGCAAAGGTAGAATTGGTATGAGTCTTCTGAACTTCTCTCTTCAGGAGAAAGATGTTCCCAGAATTCTGGGTGGAGTCTGAGACAGTAAGCAGAAAAATACCACCACCACCAAAGTGCTCAGTTTCGTAATGCCGCAGACACCCTATCACCAGGGCTAACATCTCTAGGAGGATCCTAAGGAGAAAAACTAAGGTTGAATGCTCCCAACACACCTGGCCGCAGAAGTTACTTTCTTAGTCTTGCAGCCCTCAGGCAAAACAGGGCACCTCTTCCCCGGCTCTCTGCTCAACCCAATAGTTGCTCTCTTTCTGCCAGAGGGAGGGGACCTGATCCTTCAGGTACTGGGTTTGGGGCTAGTATATTCAGCCAAGGAAAGAAGAACTAAATGCAACTGTATGTTACTGCTTCCTGACTCTCTCCTTCAAGCCAAGCCAAGGCAACGTGGGCCAGAAGCCAGGAGTTGCTATTAGCAAGGAGGAAATCCCCAGGATATTGTATCTTGTGACAAAAGTATCTCATTAATCATCAACCATGTAACATGATCTCCCATCTCATAAAAAGGGTACCTCTGCTAAGCTCTAAGGAACTTCGTCCAGCTGAGCTACAGATACCAGCTTTCTCTGATCCCAAAGGCATATACAGAGTCCCTCAAATAATCCCTGGTGGGGTGCAGAAGAGATGGGCTGTGCTTTCAGTTATGGGTCTGGTAAGTAGACATTTAAAGGAGCTTTCTCACCTATTGTACTTTGAATCAGCTGGGGAGGGATGAAGGCTGAGGATTAGAGGTATGAGACATTCAAAGTAGCTCCAAATTTGGATATCAGGACCAGAATGAAAGAAGAGGGATATCAATTCATTATAAAGAGCATTGGACTGTGAATTTGAGAATCTGGGTTTGAATCATGGCTCTGTCACCAACTAACTGCATAACCTCTGGTGAATCACTGCTCTGAGCCTCTGTTTACTTATCGGTCAAATGAGGATAACCATTTTTAGGTGAGGCGCAAAAAAGAGATAATTTTAATAAAATAAGTTTAGAAAGTTAAAGATAAGAGCTTTACAAACTGTGAATTGCTGAATGCATAAATTGATGGGACTGTTTCTATTATACCACTTAGAGATGCCCTATAGCGGCGGTAAGTTTTCAATTGGAAGCTGGATAACTATCATCTCTCAGGGGTTCTGTAGGAGGTAATACTGCAAAGCATGGGTGATTTCACTAGATAAGCTCTAAAGGAACTTCCAATTATTTAAAAAAAAAAACCAGGATGTTGTGATTAGAGAGGCCAATTAGCTCTAGCCAAGCACAGTGGAAGACAACAGGTGGAAACACGGGAAGCGAATATTATTAGTTTTCTTGGATAAGAGATAGAGGATATTCTTTTAAAGACTTTTTTTTCTTTTTTCTTTTTTCTTTTTTTTTTAGTAAGGCAATTGGGGTTAAGTGACTTGCCCAAGGTCACACAGCTAGTACGTGTTAAGTGTTTGGTCTGAGGCCACATTTGAACTCAGGTCCTCCTGACTTCAGGGCCGGTGCTCTATCCACTGCACCACCTAGCTGCCCCTGAGGATATTCTTTTTCACCATCATATTCAGTGGTAAATAGGCATTCCCCTCTAATTACAGCTACCTAAGAAGATTGGGAGTTTTGTCTCTGTTTGTCCCATACATTTGATGGCTTTCTTGAAAAGGCTGATCAAGCACTGAATTACAATATGATTGGATTCATCCATACCTCCGTCGATATTGCCACTGCCTAGTAAGCCTGTTAATAACCAGTAACAATAATAACAGTAACTATGTTTAACTTTCCTTCCGAAGGTTGCTATGTTGCCTTGAAAACAATCTTATTTCCAGCAGACCAAACAAACAGTAGACACAGACCAGTAGAAAAAAAGCTACTAATTACATTTCATTTCACCACTTGGGTGACCTCCGTGGGTCAAAGAGGAGTGATGAAAGTTTGGCACGGGCTGGTAATTTTTTTTGTTTGCCGGGCTATTCAGTATCACGTGTATGTGTGTTCAGTGGAATTCCTTCACCAATGATGTCATCAATTGGAATGACACTTCTTTGTGCATTGAATATTTGATGTTTGTTTAAAGTGATATTAGGATCTCGAGATTTGGGGTTTTTGTATGTTGTTGAGGGTGGGGGAGGGATACAGTGGTGGCAATGACAATGGTAGCATAGTAAATAGTGCTCTGCATTTAAAGTCGAGGGAACCTGGCTCAAATCCTGCTTCTGACACTTATTAGCTGTGTGACCATGGACCAGTCACAGTCTCTCTGGGCCTCAGTTACCTCATCTGTAAAATGAAGGGGTTGGCCCAGAAAATCCTTGAGCTCCCTTTTATTTATATTTTATGATCCTATGATCTACTTGGGCAGCTAGGTGGTGCAGTGGTTAGAGCACTGAGTCTAGAATTAGGAAGGCTTATCTTCCCGACTTCAAATTCGGCCTCAGATACTTACTAGCTGTGTGACCCTGGGCACGTCACTTAACTCTGTATGCCTTGATTTCTCCATCTGTAAAGTAAGCTGCAGAAGGAAATGGCAAACCACTCCAGTATCTTTGCCAAGAAAGCTTTGAATGGGATCACAAAGAGTTGTACCCAACTGAAAATGACTGAAAAACAACAACAAAAATGAACTACCAAGTCATAGATAGGATAGGATCTGCATTTGGTCTTAAGTTCATAAATTTAGAGCTGGAAGACACTTTAGAGGTTGTGTAGTCCAACCCTCCCATTTCATAGATGAGGAAACTGAGGCCCAGAGAGATTTAGTGACTGACCTAAGGTCATGCAGCTAATAAGTCTTAAGACAGGATTCTACTTAGGTCTTCCTGATTCCAAGGCCAACGCTCTATCTGTCATGACACCTCTGGTGAAGGGCATTTCCACAATGAAAGTTCTGGATTCCTACCTGGGAATTTACTGTATTCCAGAAATCACAGATCCTTTGTGTATTTTCCTGAACAAACACATAGGGGCTGGTGGGAAGGACCATGAAGAAAGAAAGTTGATGGGAAGAAAAAAAAGGAGATTCAGGACAATAAGGGTATCAAGGCCAAGAGAGACATAATTTGGCATACCACACATCCAGATCCATACAGTAGGGAGCAAGTTTTTAATAGTATTCTAACCTCTCTTCTGGATTCTCCCGAGGAAAGCTGATCAGAAGTAAGCTTGTGTCCTGCAGAAGGAAATTCATTCTCATACTAGGTTAATTCAGAAATGGGAGCAAGTGGGAGGGAGGAGGAGAATTCTATATTCTATGCTCATCTCTCACATTGCTTACAAGGCCAGGTGACTCTCCTGGCCCCAAACTCGGAAAAGGGGTTCCGAGGCAGTGTGGTATAGTAGGAAAAACATTGCTCTTGTGGCAAGAGAATTGCTCTACTATTACTAACTAGCTTCATTACCTTAGTAAAGTCAATTTACCTATAAGGCCCTCCGTTCCTTCCTTTGTAAAATGAAGGTGTTGGCCCAACGATCATTAAAGTTTCTCCTAGTTCTAAATCTATGATCCTAAATCTCTGAGTCCTTGTAGTTAAAAAAAAAATTATGTGATTCTTTATAGATCAGTTCTCCCCTCTGAACTTGGGGCTGTGGGACTACCATCTATGCTTGGTTCTAAAGCCTCTCCAATTAAAAAGGCTACTTTCTGTTTCATTTTTTATTCTGGTTACTTTAGGTAAACTATAAATCAAACAGCCAGTCTGGGAGTGTGGGAATCATGAAACCAGTGCCCACAGCTATTACCGCCCCACTAGAGAAAGTGGGGAGAATGTCTCTGTTTTTGAGTTAGATTGCATAGAGCCCAAGTTTCTCCAACTACCCTCTTTCTTTCTATCATATTAACTTCTTCCCCTGAGCTGGTTCCTGCTCCCAAATGAACCCAGTCGGTGCCCTTATTGTTGGTGATCCTGAGTATTTTTTTATTTTAAAAAAATTTATTGATGCTTTTTTTTAAGTCACCATAATTTCCCCCTCTATCCCTTCCTTATCCTTCACAGATAACCATTCCTTATAACAAATAGTATTTTTAAAGACAAAAAAAAGGAGAAAAACATTAGTATTGAATATATTTTTTAAAAAATCTAAAAATATGTTCAATGTGCAACATTTGTGGACCTCCCAACTTTGCTAAGGGGTAGCCATGCTTGCTATTTATAACTTTGCAACATTCACTTTTTATTTTTTACAGTTGTTCTTTCCATTTATATTGTTGTAGTCATTATGTATATTGTTGGCTCTGCTTACTTCACTCCACTCAGTTCATGTAGATCTGTCCAAGCTACTCTCTATTCATCGAATTTGTCATTTCTTACAGCACAGTAATATTGTATCATATTTTTAACTGCTTGCTCAAAGGGCTTATTTGCATAAGATTCTCCTCATCATTAGAGATTAATTACTCAACTCTCTGGCCCTCTGTGAGGACAGAATTGGTGAGAGTTGCAACAAAGAGAAATACTGGTCATCTAGCTTTCAGCTCCAAGAAAGAATACATGTAATTTCAATTCCCTTCAAGTTCCTGAAGAGCGAGAAAGACTCTGGGAAGAAACTAACATGTAGACGAACTGAAGACCAGGATTTCTCTTCCCTCCAACTCTCATCAATTCTGCCTCTCACACAGGGGCAGAGCTCCTTCCCACAGCATTGAGTAATCAGTCTCCACCAATGACAAGAGTTTTATGTGAATGGCCCTTGGAGCCAACAGTTACATATTCACATACCACAATTTGTTTAGCCATTCCCTATTCAATCCCAAATAGTTATTGAATATATACCAAATGTCTGTTTAACACTGTGGTAGGCCCCATGGGGAAAGACTGAAGAGATATAAGCCACAGTCTTTCCTCTTAAAGAGCTTAGTTTCATGGGGACAAAACAAATGTGACTTTTAAAAAATGAAGCTATTGGGGCAGCTAGGTGGCACAGCGGATAGAGCACTGGCCCAGAAGTCAAGAGGACCTGAGTTCAAATCTGACCTCAGACACATAACACTCACTAGCTGTGTGACTCTGGGCAAGTCACTCAACCCCAATTGCCTCACAAAAAAAAGAAGAAGAAGAAGAAGAAGACACTATGATGTCCATATCCAGAAAAAGAACTATGGAGTCTGAATGCAGATTGAAGCAGACTATTTACTCTCTTGTTTTGTTTCTTCTTTTTCGTGGTTCCTCCCATTGATTCTAATTCTTCTTTACAGCATGACTAATGTGAAAATATCTTTAATATGAATGTATATGTAGAGCCTATATCAGATTGCATGCCATCTTGGGGAGGGGGAGGGAAGGGAGAAAGTTTAGAACTCAAAATCTTATGGAAGTGAATATTAAAAACTTAAAATAAATAAACTAATTAACACAAATATCTTTAAAATGAAGCTATGAGATATAGACTCTAAACGCAGCAGAAGTTCAGAGTAAAAAAGAAATCAACATGGGCTAGACTAGTTGTCAGGCTCCCTGGAAGAGGGAGGGCATGAACAGGACTTTTAAGGATGAATAGATAGGAGCTGGGCAACTAGGTGGTGCAGTGGATAGAGTACCAGGCCTGAAGTCAGGAAGACTCATCATCCTGAGTTCAAATCTGACTTCAGACACTCACTAGCTGTGTGAGCCTGAGCAAGTCACTTAACCCTGTTTGCCTCAGTTTCCTCATCTGTAAAATGAGCTGGAGAAAGAACTGGCAAA